GGAAGGACAAACGGGGACGAGAGGGGACGGGACGGGGCGGAGACGGGGCGGGAGGGGATGGGAGGGACGGGAAAGGGATGGAAAAGGACGGGAGAGAACGGGAGGGGGTGGGAAGGGCCGGGACGGGCGGGGAGGGAAGGCAGGACCCCACTCACGTTCTTGAACTCGCGGAACGGGACGAACTGCACGATGTCGCGCAGGACGGGCTCRCCCTTCGGGGAGCGCAGGACGCCGTCGTCGCCGTCCAGGATCTGCATGTCCGTGAAGTCGGCGTTGCCCACGCCGACGATGATGATGGACATGGGCAGGTAGGAGGCCCGGACGATGGCCTCCCGCGTGTCCGCCATGTCCGTCACCACGCCGTCCGTCAGGATGAGCAGGATGAAGTATTGCTGCGGGGACAGGGACGCTCGGAGCGCTGCCGGCCCCACAAGTGTCCCCAGCGCGGGGGCTCRGCCCGGCCCGGCCCGGAGGGRCAGCGGGACCCACCGACGCCTCCTTGGTGCGCTCCTCGTCGGCCGCCACGCGAGCCACCTTGGAGATGATGGGAGCCACGTTGGTGGGGCCGTAGAGCTGGATTTTGGGCAGGCAGCTCTGGTAGGACTCCACGACGCCCTGGATGCCTGTGGGGTGTGCGGGGGGTGAGCGGTGTCCCAGCCGTGGGTCCGGCCCCGCTGCCGCCGGACTCACCCTCGCACTCATCGTTGTCGGGGTTGAAGTTGATGGCGAAGTCGTGGGACACCTGGAGGGGAGGGGACAGCTGGTGTCCACCCTCACCGCAGCCCCGAGGGTACCCAGAAGGGCGAGCACATCCCTGGGGTCCCACCCTGGCACCCCAGACCCCCTCACCTCGTACTTGGGGGGGATCCTGGCACCGAAGCCCAGAGCCGAGAATTTCTTATCGCTGCAAGGGAAGGGGTGACATCGTTGGGTGGCCGCCACCGGAGCGTGTGACCCCGGGGTGGCCGTCACCGGGCTGTGTGGCTCCGGGGGACCTGCCAGAGCCACCAACCTGTCGTAGTCCTGGCAGATCTCCCCCACGGCCACCAGCGCCTTGAGGTACTCGTTGGGCTGGTAGGGGTTGATGTAGTGCAGGGAGCAGCTGTTCCGGGGGTCCCCGTTGGACGCCGTGAAGTCGATGGCGACCTGGTGGGGGACAGTGAGGGTCCCCCCGGGCAAGCAGGGCCACCGGTGTGTCCGTGCAGGGCGGGGAGGGGACGCTGCTCACCGTGAAATGGATCTGGCAGCCGCCCATGATGTAATCCAGGAAGGAGTAGACCCTGTGGATCTTCCGGAGGGACCCGCGTCAGGCGGTGCTGCCCCGCACCCCCGGCACGGCACGGCACGGCACGGCACGGCTCCCGTGCGCTCACCTTCAGGTCCAGCAGCACCACCACCCCCGAGTTCTTGTAGTTGCGCTTCTTGATCTTGTACTTGGGGTTCATGCAGTCCCACTGCACCTGTGGCACCGGCACCCGCGCTGCCTGCAGCCCCTGCAGCCCCCGCAGGGCACGGCCCAGCCCTGGCACCCCCAGGGCACCCCCAGGGCACCCCCAGGAAACCCCAAGGGCACCCCCAGGGCCATGGCTCTGCACCGGGGGGACCCCACAGCCCCAGAGTGCAGCTGTTTTCCCCATCTCCCAACCACCCCCCAGACTGCAGCTGCCCCATGCATGAGTGATTCCCCAGAAGACCCCAAAGCCACCATCCCAAACCCACCATCCCAGACCCACCATCCCAAACCCATCATCCCTTCCCCAAAAAGGAGGGCAGCGAGCAGCAAACGAGCCCAGACCCAGCGGAGGTGCTGGCGGGTGCCTGCTGGGATGGGCTCTGCTGGCAGCACAGGGGCGGTCCCCCATCCCCGTGTCCCACCTTGTTCTCCCCCATCGCYTTCTGCATCTCCTCGAAGGTGGTGAAGAACTCCCCGATGAAGTCGTGCTTGCCCCGTGAGTCGTAGTCCCACACCACGCCCTGCGACGGGCACGGCTCAGCCCTGGCACCGGCACGGGCACCGCGGGGTCCCCCAGGAAAGCCGGGGTACAGATCCCCCAGGGCAGCAATGGGGTCCCCACCATCCTTCCTCACCCTCAGCTTCCTCTTCTCCTCGCAGCTGCAGAGGGAGTTGAGGGAGACCTTGAACGGCTCCCAGATGGGGCTCAGGTTGTTCTTCACCACCTG